CTAAAATTCCTGGCCAGTGGGGGTGGAGCTAAGGGGGGTAGAGGGACAACTAACTTTGGGGGGGGGGGGGAAATAACTCAAAAACTATGACCTCCAGCAAAAAGTTTGTCATATGTTTAAAAAATCTATGTAAAATTCCTAAAATTATGTACAAGAAAGGTCCTATGCACTTTTTTGCTAGGATTATCACTTTTAGAAATATAGAGGGGAGAAAATGGAAATAAGTATTTTAAATATATTTTTGTTACTAATAATGTAATGTAATCAAATGATTAAAAAACCATGATCGGTCCAAATATTATTTACAACAGCATGTCATTACTGTGCTGTGACAACAGGCGAGTGTGGAAAGTTTCTCGAGTGCAGCAAAGGCAATTTGCGATCGTGTTACATAAATTATAATTTTCCTACAGTTACTATAAAGCATAGAAACCTGGAAATAGGGTGGGATTGCAGAACTCACTTGTCTCTGAAAGTGATCTTGAAGGTTCATTAAAAAGAGTGCTGGACCTTAACACATCTAAGGTGGAAGGCAAATAAATTGGCTCGCTCACACAAGACCTTGCACTAGATTGGCAACTTTCATAACTTGAGCTGGTGATATCAGGAATGGAGAGGTATTCAGGAATGTCTTCAGGAAGGATAAACTCAGGAGATTCTGGAACAAATTCTAAACACTTTAGTTTTATAGTACAATGTTTAAACCTTAATTCAATTGAGAGGTCTGTTGGAGTTCTGTTAACCGGAACAGTTATAGTCCAGGCAAAGAAGACAATGTAGCGGAAAAAATTCATGTATAAGCCGAATTTGATACAGTTGTAGGGGAAGGGCTCTAAAACAACATACTAAAATTCCTGGCCAGTGGGGGTGGAGCTAAGGGGGGTAGAGGGACAACTAACTTTGGGGGGGGGGGAAATAACTCAAAAACTATGACCTCCAGCAAAAAGTTTGTCATATGTTTAAAAAATCTATGTAAAATTCCTAAAATTATGTACAAGAAAGGTCCTATGCACCTTTTTGCTAGGATTATCACTTTTAGAAATATAGAGGGGAGAAAATGGAAATCAGTATTTTAAATATATTTTTGTTACTAATAATGTGTTGTAATGAAATGGTTAAAAAACCATGATCGGTCCAAATATTAATGACAACAGCATGTCATTACTGTGCTGTGACAACAGGCGAGTGTGGAAAGCTTCTCGAGTGCAGCAAAGGCAATTTGCGATCGTGTTACATATATTATATTTTTCCTACAGTTACTATAAAACATAGATATCATACTTTTTTTAAGCATAGATAGTGGTCATACTTTGTCTTTCAAACACTATATAACACATTTTTAAGTTAGTTAAATCCAAGAGTTGAACGAAATGAGAAACACTCCACAGCTGATGGTGTAGTCGTAGTATTTTTAAGTGCTGCCAACTTATTTTCAAGAGTACACGTATTATGTGTCTAGTAAAAGTAGGGATGGTCAAGTCTCGAAATTTCGGGAAATTTTCGGGAAATTTTAAATCTCGTTACACGAGACGAGATTTCTTTTTGGCCGAGATTTTTATCGAGACGAGAATAAAAAAAAAAAAAAAAAAAAAAAATTAAAAACGCCTGCAGAAAGTCAATGCAATACCCGCAATACAGGCGCGTGTTGTAGTTGCGTTTCCTTTGCGAAGGCGTTCTTAATTAATTAATTCTTCAAATGTAAATATTACTTAAATTATTTTAATAACATTTGAGAAGTTTTGTTTGTTTAGTTTTGAAGTGTTAGCAGTGTGAGGAATGTTTTATTACTACAAAAAAAGTCAAAACAAGTAACTATTTTATACAAATTAATATTTTATTTTATGATTTATTTTATTTTAGGATAAGTTGAACTCTATCCTAACTGATATCACTATGTTTCCTAATCGTAGGCATTTTTAATAATTTAGGCGTGATTAATAAAAAAAATGTTATGCTGATGTTTTTTAATAAAAGATTGTAAATATTCTTGCCTATTATCATTATTTTTGTATTTAAACAGTCATCTAACAATGTTACAAAATCAGGTAAAAATTCCGAACGTGCATTTCCCGTTGTGTATGAGAAGGGAAATCCCGTCTCGATCTCGTCTCGAAATTTTATGAGAAATAAAAAATCTCGTCTCGTCTCGTCTCGAACTAAAAATCCAATCTCGTCCATCCCTAAGTAAAAGTAAACTGTTTTGTGTTGTTTTGTTGGAATACTGGATTGCGGTAAAAAAAGAGTGTGGCAAAAGTAAGTAAATGCAGCAATTAACAACTTTCTGTGCTATAATCAGTGCTAGGAAGCCCACACTGTCAGGTAACTGTCGGAAAAATATATTTAAAATACAGATTTCCATGTTCTTCCCTCCATATCTCTAAAAGTAATAATTCTACTTAATAGGACCTTCCTTGTATATAATTACACGTAGATTATTTAAACATATAACACGCTTTTTGCTTGAGGCCATAGTTTTTTAGTTATTTACAAAAAACCTAAAAAAGGGACCTTTAGAGCCCCCTTAGCTCCACCCCCGCCGACCAGGACTTTTAGTATGTTTTTTAAGGACCCTTCCTCTACAACCGTACCAAATTTGGCTATACATGAAATTTTTTCCTCTATTTGTTTTTTTTTTCTTTGTTGCCTGGAGATTTGTTGGTTTGGTATTTTAGGTTGGATTCCTAATAGTCAATGCATAGATGCCCACTTAATGCTTACGAATACATATTCTTCATATCCTTTAAGTTTCTGTATTTAATTGTAGGCTTTACATTTTAGCTAAAAAATTATTCAGTAAAACCTATGGTATTCATTGAGAGAATACCTGCTTAAAAATCTGCTATGAATGAAAGTATACAATTCCTTTCCATACCCGACTATGAACCTGTTTGAATAAAAGCCTAACAAAAAAGCTATTCTTTAGCTAGCTAGTTTTATCTCAGTCTGCAGGTTTGCTACAAGGGTACTTTTCTAATAAAAATGCAAACCAATGTTAGCCCAGAATACCTATTGCATTGTTTTTTTTTTTCAGTTTTTATCAGACTGTATATTGTAACTAAAAACATAGACTGAATCTTAACTAAAAATAGATAAACCTTGTTAAACATTCAGAAACATGGTTGTGATTAGTTACTTGCAGATTATTAACTGAAAATAAACAAATCTAAAAACAGTATTCTCAGTTGACTTTTTATAAACAAAAATTAAGAACGTAGATTTACCTAATTTACTTTTTTTTATAACTATGAAAACTGTTTGGTAATATTTACATAAACAAAAATTAAGAACGTAGATTTACCTAATTTACTTTTTTTTATAATTATGAAAACTGTTTGGTAATATTTACTTAAAGATTTTGTTTTGATTTAAAAAATTTGGACGAAAATATAAAAATGTAAAACTAAAATATCTTGGGATCTGGAGTAGTCTCTGGTACTAGGAGGTTGGGGATTGGTAGAAGAAGAACTGGAAGTGATGACATCTAAAATTGAAAGTAAACACCTGGCTTGAGTTCAAATTTTCATTTGAATGGCAAATGTTACTTCAGTGGGTGATATCAGGAGATGTAAAGATTCTGCTTTTATTGTTAAGAATTAACAATGACAATGCACAAAATGTGTTTCAACGAATGTCCCATATGAATAAGGCTATTAGAGTATGTCTCATGGTAGGACGTAGACTGAGATCCGATTTACTTTTTTGTTTTGATGTCCCCAGAATCCGTTCAAATTCATAAAATTATGGGTTAGTCCGTTACCACGATAACTCAAATAAAAATCATCCGATTTTGATGAAATTTGGTACAAACATGTAAACCTACATTTATTTGAACAAGTTTGCGAACCAGCATGCATGACCAGACAGTGAGCACAGGGTTTTATGGGGTAAAAACTGGTTTATATGTAAATAAAGATAAATTTGAATACATGTATATTGGAATAAAGTCCCTACTGAATATTTTGAAGCGAAGGGAAGGTTGAACTTCCAAACCTCTATCCCCCTGGGTACACCAATAATGGTATGTGCATGAGTAGTATTATATTGTTGTCCTTTTCCAGATCATCCGCACCCAAACACAGAAAATGTGTGATTTGTTCCTTTCTTTGTAGCTTGACAAAAGTGACGTTGATTTGAGGTGGTAGCTATGAACAAGCGTCTCTTTTGGACCAGCTGCACTCTGGTCAGGTCGGTTAGCATCAGATTTGATTGGCATCTGCCTTAGAATACAACAGATTTAATATGACAATGTCAAATGCATAATTGTATATGCATAACGACAAATCTTGCAATGGGAATTTCACAACCAAAATCCCCCTGAGTTTTAATTTTCACTTCCCAACCGTTTTATATTACAATGGAACCTTGATAACAAGACCCTCGGTAAAAAGTCACCCCTTCTTAACAAGTGTCATTTTCTAATCCCCTTGAATTTTATTTTAGCCCTTATCAAATGTTGTTGCAAACCTCGATAAGAAGTCAACCTTGATAACAAGTCTTATTCAATATTCCCATTGAGAGTCTTGTTACCGGTATCGAGGTTCTACTGTATAACAAATTGTATTTAACCACAAATGTTATCACTCACACTCGCATTAATAGATATTTTGAAAGTTCATAATTGAATGACTAATGCATAATCCAAGTATTTTTCAAAGGTCACACAAATTGGCATAGAATACCTGTATATGCTGTTCAAGTCTTCATAATAGGTGGCAACCCTTATACAGCTTCAATCTAATACGCAATTCTTATATTTTATCCACAATTGATTAGCAACAATAATATTAGGTATTTTAAACTAGTTATGTAAAATGCCTGGGTAATATCAAGTCGGGGCCAATATCAGGTTAAATGCCCTGAGGTAATTTCACTTGTTAAAACGCCCTACCTTACAAATCAATATAAATCTTTATCTCCTGAAGAGAATAACACAGTACAACTAAGAAACAACGGCTATGTAATTCAGCTTATGCTTAAATATTTGAATAAAGTATAATAACCTTTCTTTGGTGGTTTCTTCTTGTTCTCATCCTTTTCATCACTAAACCCCTTGGCCGTTTCTTTGTTAATGGCGGTTTTCTTGGTCAAATTGAATGAAACACCAGCTCCTCCGCCTTGCTTGGTCATGGAGAAGGCTAGGAGTCGTTTTTTGGCCTGAGTTTTACCTAACACAGGAGCCTGAGAGGTTGATGACCTAACAGCTTGCGGGAGGAAGTTCACTGGGGAAGGTAAAGAAAGTGGATGTGATCCAGATTCGGCAGCAACCTCAGAGACTGGGAGATCATCTTCTTCCATCGGTAGACTTGGAGAATACCTGAAAAAATCAGATTTGTTGTATTCAACAGGATGGAATGCCTACAGTTATTTTCTTCAGAAAGGATTGAAGGGGTTTGACAGAAACTCTAGATTGATGAATTGTCTGATAAAACTACTTCTGCTAAACGTTATTTTTTATTAAAAAGTAGATTAGAAATAAGCTTAGGCACCAACAAAGCCTAGCAAAGCTATAAAATCTAACCCTAAGGAATAGTACATTAGCCTTGTATTTTGTCCAGAAATGATTCAACTGTATTCTGGATGCAAAACAATTCTCCGTTATTCATTTTGAACCTAGATAATTCAAATATATACCGGGGAGCAAGCTGGTCTAGTGGTGGTAGATCGTGGGACTTTGGTCTCTGAGATCCTGGGTTAAAATCTCGCCAGATAACCAATGGATTTCATCCAAATGATAATACCGCAAGGCCTGGGTCCATCCTGAAGTAATAACTAACTTTTCAATTCAATATACAACTTAATCACTTTAAAGCCCTATCTACCTTCTTAAAAAAATTAACTAATTGAGTTTAACTTTATAACGATTACCCCCTGGCGTTATTGGTTATCGTTTAATGTATCATCACTAGTCGGTACATTGATATTTACTTGTGGTATGGTGTGTCTAAGGATGACAAGAAAGAAGTGGAGGTGGAGGACCCTTAGAGAATTTGAAGATAGGGCTGGAGTACCGGTTTTTTATTTATTAATTAAAATAGCAAATGTTTATTATTTGTCCTATTAAATGGAGTATTATCTTATCTAGGCTATTATGTTCGTGTACCTTTTAAATGGTATAGCTGTAGCCTATCCATTGATGTGAATAACTAAAAATAAAAAAATCTAAGATAGCCTACATCAATGTGTCTTTTTATTTAACAAATATTAATCGCCACACTCAATTTTCAAGCTGTTGCGTGCTTTTATTTAGGACTTGGGCCTATTTATTTTATAACATTCCAACATACTTCTCTGCGAGTTGCTGAACAAGAAAATGGAGAGAACTAATCGAAGAAATTTGCAAACTTAAGAAGAAAAATGAAAACTTAAAGAATGAAATAGAAACGCTCGAGATAAACTGATTAGGGAGCTGAAGACTAAATTAGAGGATAATAAAGAATATTTATGTTATCTGACCCCCAAAACACTTATCAATACAGGAACTCAAACAAAAAATTAAAAAGATGCAAGCTCTTTCTCCAACCTGTTGAAAGAAGAATGCTTTGTAAAAATACAAAAGCTTGAAGACCAACTAAGCGAAAAAGAAATTTCGATTACAGTATACAGCTTAACGAAGTCATTCAAGAATAAAATCGACAATCTCAGCCAAAGAAGGTTATTTGACCCCCAGAAACAAGACAAAGTATTCACCCAACAAATTCAACTCAGCTTTTTCTTTGCCCACTAAAAATAGATTTGATTTGATATCTGATAGCTCTGATGATGAAATCGAAATACTGAACCAGAAACCTGTTTCTCCTGCTGCTAATTTAAACTCCAAGACAAAGACAAAAACATTTAAAAAAAGCCAAAAAAAGTCAATATTGAATGTTGTGACAACTCAAAATGAATCAGCGAAAAACAAACCTCAGTTACTTGTGGTATCTAATAGCCATGGGAGAAATATTTCCCACATGATGGAAAATAAACTTGGGAAAGAATGAAAGAATACAATGTATCTGTTGTGGCTGCTTCAGGAGGCAACTTCAGTTATGTAGCTAAGAATTTGAGTCAACTTACAAGAAACCTTTCAAAGAAGGGCCATGCTGTATTTATAGCAGGCTGTAATGATTCTGAACAGCAAGCTCATCCAGTGAACATAGTAAACAGTTTTAGTCTCAAAAATCTTATCAATGTTTCCTCAAGGACAAACCTGTATGTTGTCAGTATCCCACATAGGTTTGATTGCAACAGATTGAATACAAAAATTGACATCATGAACAAAAACATAAAAAAATTGCTTGGAAATACAGATCTCTCCTACATTGACATAACTCAATTGCATAGAAGTTGCTTCACAAGTCATGGACTTCATCTCAACTATGGAGGTAAAAAAACACTTGTTGAATCAATTGTAAACAGTGTTCAGGCTAACATCAAAATGCAAAGTACAGTTGTTGGTGTTGAGGAGAGTGCGTCAGCGAGACCTGCGAGGTCAACACCTGCTGCAATGTCGCTGAAGGAATTCCCACCACTTCCCTCACAATCCAGTAACGGACTCGAGCCAACCTCTCTGGCTGAAGAGCTAGAGCATGCTAAAAACATTGCTCTGGTTGAGGCAGATATGAGGGAGTACCTTGAGAAATTTAAAAATGACCCAGAAACTGCGTTCGCTCACACAATATCAAGAGATCTACATCATGACAGGAATATGACAGCGGGTGTGGCTGTTGCTATTCGTAAGGAGCCCTCCAGCTGCCTTAGTGACTTTTTGGCTTGCCAGGTAAATAAGAATGAGGCAACAGTTTTTAGTCTCATGACCAAGCCAACCTATGATAGCAAGCCCTCTGTGACTGATTATGACCAAGCTTTTGAAGAACTTGAAACAGCTTTCAAAGAGAGAAAACTTCACAGACTTATTTGCTCCCCAATGGGCTGCGTGCGAGATCTCATTGATCCCCTACATTTTGCGACTAAAATAGCTGGTTATCAAAAGAACACAAATGCAAAAATAGTAATTGTAACAAATGATCAAAGGACAAGCAGAAGACCTCTATGGAAAGGACTGACTCATACAGAGTTTGTTGATAAATTACAACTAGCAATCAACAGATGTCGATCTTCAGAGAATAGACAGCAGATCTCTGGAGGGGGTATCAGGATGGGTTCTCCTTGGGGCGCGCCACATTCACCTCCAGTAATCCCTGTCTGCAGTTCACCTGTTGAGCAGAACCATCAGCAATCTGGTGGATACACAGCCCGTGTTGGTCTCCCTACAGTGGATCTGCAGTCTTCAACAAGCCTGTTTTCTAATGACAAATCACATCACCAAAAAAACTCCCCTGTGAAGCCACAGGTACCAATTACATAAATTTTAAAAACTTTTGCGTAATGTGTAATTCAAATCATGGTTCTTTTTTAAATAATAATAGCAGAAAACCCAAAAAGAAATCTTTTGTATGGCCTATCTGTGAGGAAGCTAGGTTAAGTAAAAAATATGCATGGTTAATGCACTTGAATATATACAAGGAGGAATTACAGAAAAAAAATGAATTGGATCTACTTTTACTTGAGTCTAATATATCTGTGCTTAGCTTAAATGAACATTGGCTTTTTTTTATTTTTTTTTAATAAATTAGAAAATGTGTTTATTTTACTGCAGAAAGAGCTAGGTTCTAATGTTGTTTATATTGTAGGTGACTTTAATGTTGACATTTTGGATACATGTACTTTTCCACAACAGAGATTGGATTTTTTGAATTTGTTAGATATTTTTGTCTTGGTATAAATATAGAATCACCAACAAGAATTACGCCGAACAAAATTTCATGCATAGATAATATCATAACACTTAAAACTAAGCCAATTGATACAAAAATCTGTATGAATATTGAAACTGGTCTTTCTGACCACAGGTCTCTTTTTATTTCTTCACAGGGAAATGATGAGGATAGACAAAAATTACACACTTCTTTTACGCAAAGAATTTTTTCTGAAAGAAATATTAATAAATTTATAAACTCTATCAGTAAAATGAAGTGGAATACTACAAAAAAATGAAGACCTTTTTACAAACAGCAATAATTTTTTTGGTTCTTTTCAAAGAATTTTTGAGGAATCTTTCCCTTTCAAACCTGTTAAAATTAAAAAGAAAATAGTAAATAAAAAATGGATAACACAAGGTATTCAAATTTCAAGTCAAAAGAAAATAATGTTAAGCAACTTAGCAAAGAGTTCTACTGATGTTAACTTTATTGGCTATGTAAAAATGAACAAAAAAGTTTTGAAATCTGTTTGTAACCTAGCAAAGAAAATGTATAATTGTAGTTATATAAATAAGGCTAGTAATAAAAAGCAGCATGGGTTGTGGTTAAAGCCGAACTTGGTTACAAGCCAATCAATAATTCTTTTCCTGATTTAGTTATTGATAGGCTAGCAAGTTAGTCTCAGATGGCACAGTTATTGCAAGTCACATTAATTCTAAATTTATTGAGGTAGGGAAGGATTTAGGGGTAAATTTTTCCAAGAGTAAGGCAATGGAACTAGTAAAAAAATCAATCACACATAGGCCTGATATTCCAATTTTTAACTTTAGTTTAGTTACACCTCAGCAAGTTATCAAAATAGTCAAGTCACTAAGCGATAAAAAAACGGCTGGTTGGGATGGGATTTCAACTACTATGATAAAAAAAATAATTAAGTTTGTTGCTGAGCCATTGTCCATAATCATCAATCAGACTTTCCAATACCACTCTACCTAATCATTTGAAGTATGCAGAGGTGAAGCCATTATTTAAAAAAGGTTCTAAGAGTAATTCAGATAACTACCGACCTGTTTCTGTCCTGCCTTCTTTTTCAAAGAGATTTGAAAAAATTGCATTCAATCAAATGTCCTATTTTCTGGAATCCAATAACTTATTAGCTGATGAACAGTTTGGTTTTAGGAAAAATCGAAGTACCATTTCCACTGTGGCTCATTTTGTAAATTCAATAACACAGAGCTTGGATGGGTCACAGAGCACTATTGGCGTGTTCTGTGATCTATCCAAAGCCTTTGATAGTGTACACCATCAAATTCTTCTTGATAAATTATCCTCCTATAGATTCTCAGAATCAGTTATTTTGTGGTTGAAATCATATTTAAGCGATCGCTTTCAAAGAACAGTTATTATTAAAGAAAACATTAAGTATGCTTCTGAATGGGAAAAGATTGTTATGGGGTGCCTCAGGGCTCTATATTAGGACCGTTACTGTTTTTGATGTACATAAATGATCTACCTAAGAATGTTAAACCTAGTTTGTTGTTATATGCTGACAATACGACAGCCATCATTAAAT